CACCTCCACCAAGGCCGCACCTCCCGCGGCCGCGCTCCCCTCCGCCCCCCGGCTCTTCAACGACGCGCCCGCCGTGGTGGACCAGGCCGCGCCACCCCTGAGTGAGCCCGCTTTCCTGCCTGCCGACATCGTGGAGGGTTCGCTGGCCGCCAAGCCCCACTTCCAGTGAGGCGCAGACCGACAGGAATAACACGGGCCGGCTCGTAAAGTGCGGCCCGTGGTTTGAGCGTTCCCGTCGTTTGATCTTTTTAAATGCGCAATCTCTATGCACGAGAAACAATGGATTCTCACATGTAAAGCAGGGGTGTCAGTGGTGGCGGGCTTCACCAGCCAGCAGAGCTGCGCATTGCAATCAGAGCGTGGGGGCAGCAGTGCCTTTGTTGCGCCCAGTGTGGCAGCCCACCAACCAAGCACCGAATGAAAACTCTGCCACTGTGTGACCCAACTGTGTACGCACAAACCCTACCGTGCGAGTCGGCTCGGGCAGCCATTTCGAGCGCATGCGGGCAAGGCAAATCGCGCAGGGTGTACTCGCCACCCACTCGATCGGTCAGGCATCCTGGGCACGCGCCTCCGCCCTGAAGCGTGCCAGCCGGCGCCGACGCAGCTCCGCGACCTCCTCCGAGACTTCGCCGGCCTCCGCTCGGGCGTGCTGGACGCCACCCGTCGCCTGAGAAGGCTGCTGGGTCACGTCCCCATGCACCGCTGCGTCCCCCCGCGCCGCATGCGCCGCGGCCATGGCCGCATCTCGCCGCTCCGTCGGGCGGCGCATGCGCGCGGCCGCCTCCGCATCGGACGCGGATCCCCGCTCCTGCTGCCAATCCGCGTCCCTCTGCGCACTCAGGGGCGCCTCGGCTGCTCGCTCCGGCTCGGCCGCACTCGGTGCGGCCCCGGGCGCACACCCCGCCACACCCCTCGCCGCGCCCGGCCCGGGCCACGATACATGTGTGGGCGGGCGCACGGCGAGCTGCGCCGGGCCGCCGCCGTCCCGCAGCGCCTCCAGCGCGCTTTCAAACTCCGGCGGCCCCGGGCGGCGGCCCGCTTCCCAGAGCGTCCTGCGCAGCTCGGCCAGGCCGAGCTGCTGCTGGCGCAGCGTCGCCTCCAGCCCCAGCGCGGCGCCCTCCAGTACGCAGGCCATGCCCGGCAGCTCCAGCAGGCGCTCGACCTGCGCCGCGAGCTCGGGCGCCAGGCCCTCCCCCTCCGGCGTCTGGCTGGAGGCCAGCGCGAGGCTGGTCGCCGCAGCGGCGGCCGCCAGCACCGTCTCGTCGGAGGTGGGCGCCGGGCCTGGCAACAACAGGCAGGGCACGGGGAGCGGGGGCTGCCCAGCGCAGGGGTTTGGGGCTGCGGAGGGCCCCGTGCCCTGCGCCATCGAGCCTGGCGCCCTCGAGCCCGGCGCCGCCCTGCCGCGGCCTCGAGAGCGGCGCGCCGGGCGGCCGCCGCGAGCGCGCCGGCATTCCCTGCGCCGCCTGCGCCCTCGCCTCCCTCGGCGCCTCTGTGGGCCGCCGCTTCGGCACGGTCCCCGGCGGGCCCCTGGTGCCATGCCGCCGCCGCCGCCGCACGCGCGTCGCCGGGCAGGGCCGCGTCGGCGAGCAGCGCCGCATGCAGCTGCTCCAGCAGGGCTGCAGGGTCGCCGCGCGGCGCCGGGCGGCCGTCCTGCGGCACATGCGCCGCGCGGGCGGCGGCGGGGGGGATCACAGAGGCCCGGCAGATGGGGCAGGTCTGCTGCCGCTCAAGCCATGACCTGAGTAATATGGGGGGGAGGGGGTTGCGGGGCGTGGGCGGCTGGGTTGAGAGCGCGGCAGCACGGCGGGAAGCGAGAGCCCTCGCCCCTGCGCCAGCGCCAATGACCTTCCAAAACTCCCTTCAGCCCAAAGACACACACCCATCTCGCCCCCTCTCCTCAGGGGGAAACCCCAAGATATACGCCTGGCACCCACCTAAGGCAGTGCAGGTGGAAGACATGGCCGCAGGGCAGGCGCTTGGTCCGGCCACCAACGACCATTTCCTCCCTGCAGATGATGCAGGTGTGGTCCGCCCGGGCCAGGTCCTCGGCCGTGGCGTCGGGAAAGCGCGCGTCCATGTTGGTGGTGATGCGGCGGTACCGCAGGAAGTCCAGCATGCGCTGGTGGAAATTGCGGAACGTCCAGTACAGGTCACGGATCTATTGAGGAGAAAGTGGGGGGGGGGGGGTAAAAGGCTCAAAGTGTGTAATTGAGGGTCCGTGACGAGCTGTGTCGAGATGGCATGATAGAAAGGCACGCGGCAGGATCCCCATGGGCCACCTCGTCAGGGCACCGTATTCTCCAAGGTCTCCATGGCTCTTTAACCCCAGAATGGGGCCGACATGCGCATGCATGCCCCCCGCGCCTCACCAGGTACAGGGGGATGCCGTGGGTGCTGAACACTACGGCGAAGAAGGCTGCATACACGATGAGGTGCAGCAGGTCCAGCGTCAGCTCCAGGAAGAAGGTGGCGGTGCCCTTGCCCTCCCACCTGCCTCCCATGGCCACATCCGTCATTGACCTGAGGATGGATGGGGTGCGTATCATGGGGTCTGCGACAGGAAGACCAGTAGTTCAACGTTTTGTGCGCACATCAGAGCAGCGGGTGCATGCCCAGTGTCCGGAGGGGAGGGCGGCATGCTGAGCATGCACAGCGGGGGATGGCAAGCTGTCAGCATGCAAAGAACCAGATACACATTGCGTGCAAATTGCAAACCCAGCCTCAGACCTGATCCACTCCCTGAGAGCATTTCCCGCACGAAGAGAAACCCCTCACAGCTCCCCTCAACGCTCACATGCAGTACTTGATGAAGGTGACGAGGCAAGTGGAGCTGGCCACCGCACTCTCGAAAGCGAAAAGAAAGTGTAGCGAGATGCCCTGCTCCATCGTCCGGCCCAAGGTGTACTGCAGCAGGCAGACGTCAGCTGCCTGCTTGGGATGTGCCATGGAGGCGACAGCGGTGACCAGGACACAATAAAGGGCAATAACAACAGATGAAGGCACCAGCCAGAGCATTCTGTCCCAAACACATCCCACAGCCCCCTGACCATCACCACACAACACTCGCCAGCAGGAGGAGATTAAAGGACACCAGCCGGAAATGGGTGAGCATGGGCACGGAGGGGTTGGTGTCGATGAAGTCCACCCTGTCTGCCACCAGCCAGTGGAAGATCTTGAGGAAGGATACCACGACAAACATGGCCATAAAGAGGGGGGACACATCCTCCCGGAAAATGGTCATGGCCAGGCAGGTCTCCACCACCGCCTGCGAGACGCGCTCGCTGATGCGCTCCAGCTCCGCATCGCGCAGCTGTCCCAGGAAAATCTGGTGCAGAGGAGGGAAAGAAAGTGAGGGAATGGTGGGTATGACCGACGGCAACGCTAACGCCAGCCCACACCCCACGCTCCACTCCACCCCACGCACACCTACTCCTGCATGGGCCACTCACCCGCGTCAGGCACTTGTATGTGAGCAGCGTGGCAGCGAATCCCAGGTTCCCGAGGACGGCGATGCAGACTTTTGAAGTCGATAGATGCACCACGGCAGGGTAAAACCTGGTGAGGGATTGGTGGCCTGGGTGATCGCCGGGGGGCACGTCACAAACTGGAAAAGCGCTCGTGCTCAGAGATGACACTTTCACTCACTCTTCGCGCGTGGAGAAGCCGTGCCAGATCACCAGGCCTGCCAGCAGTGCGGACAGGCCGACGTAGCGGCCCGTCGAGAGGAGGGCCATCTCAGCAAGACCCTCAAGATGCCATCGAGCCGCACATCCACCGTGCTATAAAAGTATACCAGTCGAATGGAGGATTCGATTTTGGGGATGCTTGTTCAGCGTAGCTGTCCAGACTCGGGGGAAATTGTGCATCTCCTCTCCCCATGGTGGTTGTTTCGGGGGGACGCTGTGCATGCAGGGATCGGAAAGGTAGAAGATCGACAAGCCAATCAGATTGCCATGCGCGGACTGAGCTGCATGCAAGCCGCTATTCTGATATTTGACCTGACCACAGACATATAGTAAACCGAATCGCGAGTGCTGGGAGTGCAGTGCATTGCCCATGAACCCCATTATCCACTGAGGAGTGGCATTTGCGAGACCCGACTCACGCATGTTTTAAGCCAGCACCGGTAAACAGAGCATCAATTGGATTCTCGGTGTATTCTACCGTTCATTATACCCTCCCGCTGCCTCCCCGTCGTGGCGATGAGGCCTGTCAACATGTGCACCAGACCTGCACGCATGACGACCGTGGGAGCCGTCAAGGTGGCGAGCTGCAGCAGGCTGAGACAAGCATTCCCAGCCTTCCAGCTCTCGAGACCGAGATCAAATTCCTCAGGGCCGCTGGTGAGAGTTTTGCATGTGTGCACACTGCTCTCTTTGTGCCTCTGTTTTTCTGGAGAGATCGTTGGGCTGAACAACGATCTTTTCCCCTCCCCTAGCCCACCCCTCATCCCTATTCCTGCTCCTAGCAGTACCACAGACGCAGTCAGCTCGTCACTCGGGCTGCCATGTTTGACACCCTGTCCCAGTCCCTGAATAAGGCATGGGGCATGGTGCAAAAGGATGCTCGATTAACCCCAGAAAACATGAAGGCACCCCTGCGAGAGATCCGACGAGCCCTCCTTGAGGCAGACGTGAGTTTGTTTATCATTCTGGTTTGCGTGTCATGCATGCTTTGATTACAAGTGCACTTGTTGTGCTCAATTGAAGCTGTACAGGATGGGACCACCTTATGTGCTACTGATGCCGCCTCATCACGACATTTCGTCTTCCAGGTCCCCCTCATGGTGGTCCGGCCCTTCATCGCAAGGGTGGAGGGCAGGGCGCTGGGCGCTGCTGTGACCAAGGGCGTGTCACCCCAGCAGCAGCTTGTCAAGGTATGGAGTTGGATTGATAGTTCATGCAGAAATTGCTTCTTGCTATTGTTTGCAGTTTTGCTTGCTGCAGTGGTGCAGCCTGGCAACAACGCCATCTCCTTGTCTTGTCCTCATCTCTCGTCCCGATTAATATACCATACCAGATTGTGTACGATGAGCTGGTGATACTGATGGGCGGGAAACAGGTATCCCTCAATGTCCCAGAGGGCGGCGAGCCACAGGTGGGTGAGGAAGACCCTGAAGGACCATGCACCCCGATATGAATCTTGCATGGAAGATCTGGTCTGTAGCCTTCCAGCGCCCGATTCAGTCTCCTATGTGTTGCATTCAGTGTGACGCAATCAATTCACTGAACCTAATGTTGAAATTCAAGTAGCTGAACAGGCAAGTCTGTGTCATGTCACTCAGGTCATCCTGATGGCGGGATTGCAAGGCACTGGCAAGACGACCACTGCTGCCAAGCTGGCGGCCTTCCTCAAGAACAAGGGCGGGCGAGTCATGCTGGTGGCCACTGACGTGTACCGTCCTGCAGCCATTGAGCAGCTTGTGGTGCTTGGAGGCCAAGTGGGTGTGCCTGTGTTTGAGCGGGGGCTGAATGTCCCACCTGCGGACATCGCGAGGTATGGATGGGAGGCGGAGAGGATGGGGCCGACATGCAGATGTCCTTGGCCATGTGGAGCACGTGTAGTTTCCTCGCAGCGCGCAAGCTCTGGGAGGACTTCACACGGCCCCCTTTCCTCTGCCAGGGAGGGAGTGGCCCTGGCCAAAGAGGAGGGCATGGATACTGTCATCATCGACACCGCAGGACGACTGCAAATTGATGCGACGCTCATGCAGGAGCTGCAGGAGGTGAGGGTCGTGCCTCACATGGTGGGCTGCAATGCATGCCACCCGTCCAGGCCCTCCCTTGGGGATGCTGTCTGATGCGGTGATGCATCATTGCTTTTGTGTCTCTGCTATTCTTCCTGTGTCAGACTTGTGCCCCTTGAAAGTGCTCCTGAAGATGCCTGTCAGTGAAACCATCATGGCCTGTACTGTCAGAAACCATGCCCCTGCTCTCTCCCTCAAACCACTACAGATCTCCTCCGCTGTCAGGCCCACAGACACTCTCCTTGTCGTGGATGCGATGACTGGCCAGGAGGCGGCGGGGCTGGTGAAGACCTTCAACACCACCGTGCCCCTCACAGGTTGGACGGGCTGCGGAGGAGAGGGGGAGGGCTTGCCTTGCATGGCAGGGACCAGAACTCTCTCCTCGAATACCACATTAGAGACCCCAAGCCATGTCTACTCGCCATGCAGGCGCCATAGTGACCAAGCTGGATGGCGATGCCAGGGGCGGCGCGGCGCTTGCTGTGAAGGAGGTGTCTGGCTGCCCGATTAAGTTTGTGGGGATGGGGGAGAAGACGGATGCCCTGGAGCTCTTCTACCCAGATCGCATGGCCTCCAGGATCCTAGGTGGGGTGGGATTGATGAATGGTTGTTTGTTGGATCATGGTACCTCCCTGGGAAAGGCAAGAGGGAGGGCGAAAGGTGCTCATCAGAATGTGCCAGACGGCCTCAGCGTGTGACAATCAGGGAGTGTACTTCCATCTCAGCCCTAAAACCTCTCGCTTGCCTCTTCCTTGGTGCAGGCATGGGTGATGTGCTTACGCTCGTAGAAAAGGCAGAGTCAATGGTGAAGGAGGAGGAGGCCGCGGCCCTCACCAAGAAGATGCTCACAGGCAGGAGCTTTTGGCAGTTGTGATGAAGCTGTGGATCCTGGGTGGCCTGCGTTGGCACATCTGCTGCACTAGCTGACTGATGCACACCTTGCATTGTCCTCTGGCGCATTGCAGCTGCAGTACCTCAGCTCTCTACGGACACCAACAAGAAACCTTGCTTCCCCACCCACCCTCACTCTCGCAGCGAAGTTTGACCTCAACGACTTCCTAAAGCAGTACAAAATGATCTCTGGCATGGGCAACCTCACGTCTGTGCTCAAGATGCTGCCAGGTAGGCGCAAGGGGCGTGACAGCGACTCAGGAATGGGACAGAGGCAGTACAGGCACCAAGGTGCTGCAGGAATTGTCTGCCGCTCGTGCGATGCCAAGCCCAAGGATGGCCCCTTCCCAATCACACAGGCATGAGCGGCGTCTCAGACAAGCAGCTGCAGGCAGTGGAGGCGCAGTACAAGGTGTACGAGTCCATGATCCAATCCATGACTCGACAGGAAAGGGCAAATCCAGACCTCCTGGCCAAGATGCCGTCGCGGAGGTAGGACGTCAGGCTGAGTTTCCAGACTGGATGGCAAATGCCTGCCCCTCTCAAGTGCCCGGCCTGGGCCTCAGGCAGGATACGCTTGCAGGCACGGGCCTGGCTACCTCGGAAGACCACCTGCCAGCCCATGTCCCCACCCTCCAATCACACCCAACCCTGACCAGGCGCCGCGTGGCTCGGGGGTCAGGGCGGGAGGAGGCCCAAGTGGCGGAGCTGATTGCCGTGTACACATCCATGCGGGCCCAGATGCAAACCATGACGCGGATGATGGCGCTGAGCGGCGGGGCGTCAGGTGCGAGGACCGTGCGCTTGGGGGGATGGTGGGGATCCCATTTCTACATCAGCCAGGACTTGGAGCCTCTCCACGCCACTTCCCCCAGGTCTGGGCGGCATGCCTTCCATGAGCGACGAGGAGATGATGGCGGCGGCGCTGGGCAGCGCCGGGCCGCGCCAGGTGCCCCCCGGGAAAGTGAGGAGGAAGAAGAGGAGGGACATCGCGCCAAGGCAGGAAGCGGAGGCCGTGGCCAGCGTATGACCGGCTGTCGTGCGCCGCAGCATCTGCATCCACCCTGCACATTTGCAGCTTGCAGTCTGGTCCCTGCTCCCAACAATTTGCCCTGCTGTCCCAGCCGAGGGCAGACGGCTGTTACAGTATCGTTCGATCAGAGCAGGAGCAGCTACTCAACTATGTGCAAGGGGAGGGAAGGGAGGGAGGTGCGCCTGCGGAATGCACTGGACCCACACTCGTGTCGGGGCCAAAGCGCCGCGTGGGACCGATGCCTCTCCCCCCGGCCCGCGAAGCAGCGAAATTACAGGTTGGCGGTGCCGCCCTGGCGAATGAGGCGGGGCAGCATTCTTCTCGGCGACTGGGCTCAGAGCCTACACAGCCCTCAGTAGGACTCGGCCCAGGACTTCTCGACCTCATTGGCCGACAGGTAGTACTGCGCAAGGGAAGAGGTGGGAAGGGCGTCACTTCGGATCCTCAGGGATGGCACGCGCCCCATGCACATGCAAGGGAGTCCACGACCCCGACCCCTCGATGCCACGAGAAGTGCAACACATGCGAGCAGGGCGCACCTGGAGGGAGTTGACCACGAGCTGGCACATGGGCGGGGGCAGAGGCTCGCCGTGGTAGGTGATCTGGAAGATATCGAACGCGTTGCGACCTGGACGGATGCAGGAGGAGATTTTTGGGGTCTCCTACATCAAAGCGGGAAACCCAGGCCGATGCAGTATCGAGAGCCTGTAGAGAAGTTAAATGAAGGTCCCTCCCTACCCCAGCTGCAGTGACAGCCATGCGGCCAAATGAAGCTCCGCCTGCCCATTTGACACTCCCATCCCTCGAGCCACGGCTCCTCCCAACGCACCAATGGTGTCCACCTCAGCTGAGATGACGTTCAGGTTGATGTCCTTCAGGATGTGGACGATGTCTGTGGGAAGGGGGCGGAGAGTGGGGTACTCAATGTGGAGGTAGGCCAACTCCGTGCTGCATCACTCAAGGCCGAAGCCCCCCTCCGGGCCTCAGGCTCCGAGGGCCACCTCGTGCCCATGCCCAGCCGAACAACACCCCCTTCCCTGGCCTTCTCACCGGTGAGCAGGCCCGGTCGGTCCAGGGTGTTGACCAGGAGCTTGCTGGTCAGCCCGTTCTTGTCCTCCCTGACCTCCACCTGGGTCTTGATGCCGTAGTTCCTCACGCCCAGGGGGGAGGAGTCGTCGGCGGCGTTCATGCCACTGTAAGCAGATGGGGAGCCCCATGCCAGCTGCTGGCTGGTCTCCGGGTGGTACTGCATTGGTGCCAGAGGTCGTTAGAGGAGGTGCATGGAGTCCAGGGGTCCAGCCTGTCCTCGGCATGGCAAAGACGTGAGTTCATCCCTAGGATGCCGATCTCCATCCTCAATCTTCTCCCTCCTCCCCCAACCTGACATGCTCACCCTCAGCATGTTGTTCAGGATGGTCAATCGGATCTCCTCAAGCCTGGATGACCTCACTACCTTCTCACTCGTCTCTGCAGTGAGAGTGAGGGTGCAGGGGCGGTGGTGGTGGGACAATGGGGAACACATGGCTTCACAGGTTGATGTGGAGGAGCCTTTGGCACATTGGAAGGAGGCTGACCTCAAGTACTGAACCAGGCTGCGCCTGAACCAGACCCGAAGAGAAGTATCAATCACGGTACGAGGGCCTCACCGAGGCCAGCAGCAATCCCAACCTCCCCCTCCATCTACTTCTCACCCGCATCCGTGATGTAGAATTTGTGGGTCCCAGTGGACCTCAGCTTTGCACGTGTGATGTTCAAGCCCAAGCTTTTCAGGGCGGCAACCTGTGGTGAACAGGTGACAAGGATACTTCGTATGCACCAGCATATTCTGCAGCGACCTGGGTGAGTTACAGGTGCCCATTCATGTCAGCACTAGCATCCAGGGTCCTGCCGCCAAAACACCTCCACCCAGGCCTTTATCACGTCCACCTCACCGTGTCCAGGAGCTCTCCCAGCTTGTTTCCGTAGTTGATGGTCACGAGAGTGGCAAACGGCTCGGAGTGGTTGTCGATCTTCACCTCCACAACATCTGAGACCTCGTTCTCCTGGACCTGCTTGGCCTCCTTGGCCAAATCCTCTGCCCCATTCAGGCCCTTGTTCCCAGTCACAGCGGCCCTGCGATGGACAATGATTGCAAAGAAGGTCAGGGCGTGACTCGGACCGGAATGCTGTCCAGTGGCCAGTGACAGATGTGACGAGGGTACCCACCAGGCCAGGCCTGGCCCCACCCTGTGGCACGCGAATTCAAAGGCAGTGGCCAGCTCCATCCTCGGGAGTTATTACCTCGGGACAATTGGGCGGGGGTTGCTTGGAAATCCAGTTGGCGCCCAGGCCTTGCGAGACACCAGGCCGGTTCGCCTGTGGCACGGCGGGTAAGGAATGAGGGTCAGGTCTGATCATGGTACCGGTGTCCAGGAACCCAGTGCCATGTGGGATGCTTCCCGGATGAAGTGGGCACACTCCTCACCTCACTCCACAGGCAGGAGCGCAGACCGTGCGGCCGGCCAGCCCCCCTGTCGCGGGCGCTGCGGTGTGGGATGCCAGCATGGTGCCTCCCAGCTCAGAACGGAAGCAGTGCAGGGAAAGCGGTCGTGGCACGAATGGTATAATACTGCTGGATAAAAGTATGATCTCAGGTCTCGCAATACGAGGCTCGGGCACGGCCAGTTTGGGGGTGCGTGTCGATATGAGCCCTGGGACACACACGTGACGGAAATACGGGATTGGATGAGGAGGGGTGGGCATCATGTCAACCCCCCGGTCCCACCGTTCCTCTGGTAAACTCTTATGTCGAGACTGGCTGTACAACAGGCCGGCCATGCACTTGGGTCGGGCACCTTTCTCATGCACGGGCTTCGCCCTCACCCCCTCCCCGCCCGCTTCTTCTCCATTTTGAGCCCCGGGAAGTAGGATGCCAGGGTGCGTGCCTCCGCGCTGGGCGGCAGCAGGGTCACCCTGGTCTTCTTCGCGCCGTGCGCCCCCGTCGTGCTGGTGGTGGCGCCCAGCTCGCGACAGCGCTCCGCCAGCGCCGCCAGGCGCAGCTGCAGCGTGGCCGCCAGCGCCTCCGCCTCCGCGCCGTCCAGCGAGGCCGACGGCTCGGCGCGCAGCGCGGCGGCCACCATCCAGCTGAGCATGAGGTCGCGCTGCCCCGGCGCCTGCACCCAGCGCTCGGCGGCGCCCGCCTCCGCGCCGGCCGCGTGGTGGGTGTAGAACCGCGCCAGCAGCGGCGCCAGCACGTCCGCCGGCACGCCCGTGCGCGCCTCCAGGCTGCTCAAGCCCGCCCGCGTCGGGCGCAGCACGGCATGCCTCGTCAGCAGCGTCGCCCCGGCGTCCAGCAGGCCCAGCAGGCGCGCGCGCTCCGCGCGCTGCGGCCCTGCGCACGCCGCCCAGGCCGCCCGGTCGGCCAGCCGCGCCGCGACGTAGGCCGTGCGCGGCGCGCCCTCGGCGCCGGCGCCGTCCGCGTCCGCGTCCTCCGCCGGCGCGGGTCCCTCACGCGCAAGGCGTAGGTAGGCCTCCACCGGCAGCGCGTCCCAGAGCGCGTCCCAGACCAGGCCGCGCGTGGGGTAGGCCCGCGGCGCGGTGGTCGCGCCAGGGTCATGCGGGGGCAGCGCCCGCCCGGCAATGGCCGCCGCCACCAGGTCCTCCTTGGAGGGCGAGGCCGCTCCGCGCGCCACCTGCCCGCGCAGTGCCTCGGGGCTGGACACCGTGGCGCGGGGGTCGACGCGCGCCGCCTCCCGCGCCAGCAGCTGCCGCTGCCGCCGCTGGCTGCCCAGCTGGCCCACCAGGCGGAGGGTGGCGGCCTTGCGCTCCTCCAACCCCTCCACCGACGAGTTCAGGGCTTCGGAGGGGCCGTAGTCCACGCCGCACACCCGCGGCTCCAGCCGCAGCAGGCGGTCGTGCGCCAGGGGTGCCAGGGTCAGGGCGCCGCTGGCACGGTCGAACACGCCCAGCGCGTACCTTTTGGGATGGGGGAATGGGGAGGGGGGGTGAGGAGGTGATGGGAAGGGGGAAATAAGGTGAGGAGGTGATGGGGGAGGGGGATTGGTGTGAGGAGGTGATGGGGAAGGGGGAAGGGGCGGAGGAGGTGATGGGGAAGGGGGAATGGGGTGAGGAGGTGATGGGGGAGGGGCAAGGGCCCGGTCCATGGCGAAGAGGGGGCGATGACCATGGCGGAGTGCCTAGGTTCTGAACGTCTCGTGCTCAGGTGCTGACAAGAGAAGAAGCTTCAGAAGTTCAGAGAAGAGAATGTTGCACTCGCATCACATGAAATGTGTGGTACATGAAAATTGCCGCTGAGGTCTGGCATGGACCGCCAGCAGTCAGTACGTAGTATCCACGTTACTCTAGCAGCAAAACTTGCGTCCTGGCCATGGAGCATGTGGGCCAGGCTGCCGGACTTTGCCGCCGCAAGGGCTGGTCGGGGTTTTTGGAGGGAGAACAGGCAGGGCGACATGATGTGGGCGGCGTGAGCTTCCACCCCACCAGCCCACCCCAGGATACCTGCAGGGAGGGGCGGTGCTGTGCTCTCCACCCATGCTCCCGCCCACGAAGTCGACGCTATCCTGCAGTCAGGATCGATGCAAATGCGGGGGTTGTGAGGATGCAGGAATGCCAGTCATGTGAGCATGCATACACTTCTTCAGCAAAACAGGCCACCCTACCCAGATCTACCACTGCACCCACCGGGCGCCCCACAATCAGGCTATGTCGCTTCTTGGCATGTGTGTATGTTTCCCACTTGACGCCAGTCGCCGGGTCGTAGCCCGATGGGAAGTAGACGGCATAGGGACCCGCGGCTGACCGCAGCTGGGCCGGCTGCTGGGCGATGGTCTCGGGAAAGGTGCTGGACGCACCAGACTTCCGCTTACCCATCACCGCTGCCAATGTTGGTCGAGCGGCGTCGCACACGGGAGGAAATAAGGTGTGCTCCTCTGCGCCAGGAGCGTGGCCCGCCGACGCTGAACAGTGGTATTGGGGTCTGTGTATAATGTCCCTCGCAGGCTGCGCTCGGAATAAAAGCAAGCAGTGACGGGAGTGCGAAGGATCTTATTATATAGCGGGTTGCATTGGCATTGCACGCTACACTCTTCGAGGTCATTGTATGGTGGGCCCACGGAGCTCTCTTGCCCTGGACGCAGCGCGCTGCAATCGCCTCCCGCCATTAGGGATTCCAGTTGGCTCCCCCTGCAACGCAGTCTACAACCTGTAAGACAATCACGCAATATTTTGTTGATCATATCATTCGCTCCACATTGCCGTGGCTCCAGATAAGCGTGCAGCCTTCCTCCCGCAGATATTGGCTATTGTGCACGCCGCGTCTTCTGCCAACGTTAAGCAGGGTAAGAATTCCGGCAGCACACTGACTCTCGTACGTGTGACCATCCTTATGCCTCGAGGATGGGTTGAGCGGTAAATCTGGACCTTGAATTCCTTATACACATGCCACTTGTATCGCGATTGAAACACGAATGCGCCCCGATGCGAGTAATTGCGGCGTGGGGCAGCTTCTGTCGTAAACATTTCGTGATCAGGGAAGGCGGTACACGGAATCGAGGCACGATGCAGCTCAGACGATACGATTCAAATCACAATCATGTTTGTAGCGATCGAATAGAACAAAGGGTCAGCCGAAGAGTTTGCAGCGGCCAGGAGGCCCACACTGCCACTCTGCAAGCCACACGGTGCCCCCCATCGCGTCTGGGCGTCACCCGCCGAATGTTGGGACGGCTCGTGTTGCTCTTCTGGATCCCATTCGTCCATGGGACCTGCAATATCTCCCTGAGCTTGGCCCCATCCGCCTCAACCTTCCAGTTTGGGGGGTCGGTGGTGCAGCCCCTGGCGGCCCCGCTCGCCCTCGTCCCGCCCACCCTCGTCACGGGGCTGCAGGGTAATGTCCTGCTGCTGCTTTCAGATGTCGATGCCTGCCCCACAACGGGGGAGGGCGTGCTGGCAGCCCTGCCGGGGGCCACCCTCTCCACCACTAACGCCACAGGCAGGCTGGCCATGTACCCCACCACAGTGCTGGTACGAAGTGTGTGTGGACTGGTGTGAGCATTACAGGATGGACAGGGCCTGCCCATGGCATTGCCATAAGGCATGCAACAGTGTTGGCGGGTATGGCACCCATGACGTGTCACCGGAGCACAAATCTCCCCTTGTCCCGCATTCCCCCCTGCCACTCCCCAGCTGGAAAGTGGGACCCTGGTGAACCTGACATGGCAGGACGTGGAGTTCGACCTCTCCACCACGGCCTTCGTCCCCGGCGCGACGGCAGACATCTTTGCCGTGGACGCCTCGCTGCTGGTCAGCGGCGGCGGCTCCACCCAGACCTCTCTCCTGGCCACCAACCAGCCCGTGCCCCTGCTGGGCATCAACGGCACCGGCTCTGGCACCGTGGCTGTGACCGGCGATGGCCAGGCGCTGAACCTCACCCTCTCCGGCCTGGACCTGACCATGGTGGGCGAGTACGAGGGCACCCTCGGCGGGAGCCCGTTGCGAGGTGTGACCAATTACACCGTCACAGACCTGCGCCTGGTGGCCGGCACCGCTCTGGGCTGCACACCCGCCTGCGGCGAGCACGGGCGGTGCATGGTGCCGCAAAACGGCGCCACCGCCCAGCCCGCTTGCGAGTGCGAGTGTGGCTGGTCGGGGGTGGCGTGCACGATGGCGGCAGGGTACTGTTCCGCCTTTCCCCTGGACGCCGGCGCGAGCTGCCCGGAGAGCGCGAATGCCAGCCCACCGCCCCCCAGCCCGCCACCGGGGCCCGCCCCGTGCGTCGCCACACAGAGTGAGTGCTGTGCCCGATGGCAGGCGACGTGGGCTGAGCTGAAGCTGTTTGCCCAAGCCCGGGCTTCTTTCTCCCTCTATAAACTGCATGTTCCCAGGCACCCTCCCAGCAACCCTCAGATGCCCCACTCCACTCTTTGCTGTACAGCCTGCAGTACCCTCCAGGTGTACAATAGCTCGACGGCCGGCTGCGACTGCGCTGAGGACTGGGGGGGGCTGGGGTGCACAGCCTGCCAGAATGATGGTGCCTGCTCGGCCCTCGTGCCAGGACTGTCCAGCGGGACCTGCAGCTCCTCGCGGAACTTCACTGAGCAAACCGCCTTCCTGAGCTACCAATGCGACCTCGAGGTGTGTTGGTGCAGGGGGATGCCTTGGGCAATGATGCACAGTTTCATGCAGAATTTTGGGAGACTTGTTGCGACTGCTGGAGGGTCGAGGATGCACTCGCATGACCCAGCCTGCTGATGAGAAGTGGAACCCAGCCCCCTGCGCTCCAGAAGCCTGTGCAAGGTGTGGATGGCGCTTGAAGGTGCCCGTGATTACCTTTCATCATCATGATCCAAAGGCTCCAATCTCATTGCAGGGAACTGGCCTGGACGGCATAATTGTACCTGGCACGTTTTACGTCTACTGCAACACCACAGGCTCGGGAGAGGCTGCGTCTGCGACAAATGCGCAAGCCGTCACCGGAGGCAGCTTGTCTGGCGACAACGCGCCCCATTGCAGCGTGGGTGTTGGGCCCGAGGAGGGATGCCTGAGCATGGGTACAACAGTGACGAGCATCCTTGTGTTGTCTTGGGGTGCATCTACACGTAGAGGTCGCCACTGTTCAAGTTACCTCGCCAGCTGATCATTCGCAACCCCGCCCATCTATGCCCTCCTCACAGGTGAATTTTGCGCTGACATCATCAGCAGACAACCCCTTGTCGTGCCGGGCTTCAAACTGTGCCTTCCAGCTCGGAACCAGCATCGCGCAGTGCAGCAGTGTATCCTGCTCCTGCAAGGAGGCCTGTCCGGGTAGATAAAGTGTCTTGGGGAGAGTGAGGAAGTGTGGCAATAGCTGCATGTTCCGGCATAAAAATCGCCGCTCCTACGGCAATTGGGCTGGGAAAGCTCGATTCCTGTTCCCTCAGACTGCTGTGTCCCAAAGCATCCCCCCCCCCCCCGCCTCACTCTGCGACGCTCCTCATCTTGGCCATGCAGTCGACCTGCAGGGAGTCCTGGACGTGATCGAGGGCAACCCCTGCACGCTGAGCTGCAACGAGGTCACGGGGGAGTGCACGTTTGACATCCAGGACTTTTTCGTGACCCTCATCGCGCCCTGCACCAACGCCCAGTGCATCGTGGAGGGGTACACCGCCAGCCAAGGTGTGTGAGGCTGAGGAAGGGGTCTCCACTGCTCTGCATGGGTCGGCGAGGCGTGGAACTTCTTGATTGGCGCTGGACCACCGAAGCCCATCTCCAAATCGTGCACTCCCAGGCAACTACGTGGCCCCCGCATCCAGCAAGAACTACGACCCCGTCATCGCCGCCATCCCGCTGATGGCGCTGATCGGCCTGGTGGGGTTCCTGCTGGCCTACCTCCTCTTCCACCCCGTCGTCTGGAGGTCGGGGGGCGAGGGCCGGCCGACCGCCCCGGCGCCAGCCCCTGCATCCGGCGCCCTGGGGATCGCAGCGCCGGGGTCGCTGGGCGGCGGTCCCCTGTCGCTTCGCTGGGAGGCCGTAGGCTGCGTCGTCCCCGCCCCGGCGAGCGGGGTGCTGGGTGCCATGGGGGCGGCCTGCGCCCCATGGGGCGCGCGGCGTGGGGCCGGCGACGGCCTCGCCATCCTGCATGGGGTGTCGGGCCACGCCGAGCGCGGCGAGCTGGTCGGTCTCCTGGGGCCATCAGGTGAGTTTGCGGGGCGCTGGGATGCAAGGGGTCTGCTTGGGTCTCCGTTTTATAGAGAGGAGGGGTTGGTTCATGGGCTGGTCAGCTGTCTGGCACATCATGTATTCCTGCCGGTAAACAAGAGCTGTTCTTACAGCATACCTCCTACTTGACCCGGCTCCAGCAATCGCTGGCCCTTTACATGCCTCACCCTGACTGAGTCTCCAGACCGCGCTCCTCCCACCTTATCCCCACCACAATTCTCAATCACGTCGCCTGTCCGCACAACCTCGACCCTCTCACCTCCCCCCCCCGCCTTCAATCGCCAGGATCCGGCAAGACCACGCTGCTGGGGATCCTGGCACAGTCGGGGGAGGCGCTGGACCGCCGCGCGGCCCTGACGGGGCGGGTGGTCATGGAGGGCAGCCCTGCACGTTGCGGTCCGGGCCCCGCCTTTGTCCCCCAGGAGGACACCCTGCTGGCCACGCTCAGTGTGGAGGAGTGCGTGCGCTACGCAGCCCTGCTCAAGGGCACTGGGGCCGGTGTGGGCGCCTCGCAGGGCGACATCGCGGCGCGCGTCACCGCCGTGCTGCAGGAGCTGGGGCTGGAGGGCGTGGCGCGGTCGCGCGTGGGCGGCGCCGCGCTCTCCCGCCGCGGCATCTCCGGCGGCGAGCGGCGCCGCGTGTCCATCGCCATGGAACTTGTGCATGGGCCGGGGGTGCTCATCCTGGATGAGCCCACCTCGGGCCTGGACTCCTTCACCGCGCTGAACCTGATGCACAGCCTGAAGAGGGTGGGGATCGTGGTTGTTCCTGTTTCTTGGGGGTTGAGGTGTGGGTGTGTGAAAGGGGTGGGGGAAACGTTTGGCGTGTGGGAGGGGATGGTTCACAGTCGCTGCACTGCACGCCATGGAGGATGTGTCCGGAGCACCCTGGTCTGGGCGACAGCCATCAGCACCGTCCCCCACCCTCGTTTTGAGACACCCCACTCCCTTTCTTGAACCCGACCATGCATATGTCCAGGCCCCTCCCCCCACCACCCGAGACACTCAAACCCCTCGCACTCGCAGGTCGCCAGGGCCGGGCGCATCGTCGTGCTCTCCTTCCACCAGCCCTCCCCGGCCATGTTCTCGCTCCTGGACCGGGCCTACCTCCTCGCGCGGGGGCGCGCGGTGTACGGCGGCGACCCCGCCTCGGCCGCCGCCTTCTTCAAGTCGCGCGGCGTGCCCTGTCCCGCCGGCGATGCCATCGCGGAGCACATGCTGCACGCCGCCTCTGACCCCGTGACCCTAGGCGCCCTGCTGGCGGGGGTGCAGGGAAATGGGGCCGCGGGCGGCGGCAGCCCTCGAGTCCTGCCTGCCGGCCATGGAACGGTTGGTGCTGGAAAGGATGGAGCCGCCGAGAAGGGCCCAGCAGACGCGCAGGAACTGGCTCTGGTGGAGCTGGAGGCGGGGCCGGGAACCACTCGATCAGGCACGGAGGGGTCGCAGGGAGTGGACGCAGCGGGGCGCGGCACGGTCTCCGACCCTGGCCCCGGCCGCTCGCGCTCGCTGGAGCTGGCGGTCCTGTTCTGGCGGGCGGGGCTGGACATCGCGAGGAACCCCTCCCTCCTCCTCCTGCACTGGGCCATGGCATTGGGCATGGGCATCTTCACCGGCTGCATCTTCCTCAACGTCGGCCTCGACATCTCCGGGGCCCAGAACCGGGCGGGTGAGCGATCAAAGATGCGGAGGGGTGGAGGGGAAGGGGGCCCGGTCTTTGCCATTGTGCATTGCCGGGTGGTCGCTGCTGCCCCTGTGGCAAGCCTCAATGCCGCGGGACGATCATCCCATGAACCCTTTCCGGCCTCTCCCGCCCAGGCGGCCTGTTCTTCATCCTCGCCTTCTTTGCCTTCACGAGCCTGACCGCGGTGGACTTGTTCATGGCCGAGCGGCGGCTCGTCATGCGTGAGATCAAAGGTCAGCCCTGACATGGCTTGCAGTGGTAGTGCGAAGGGAAGAGCAAGCAACTGTGCATCGGGGAGGTATGGAGTCTCCTCCTGTTGTAAGCATGCCTGTGCGGGCCCTCACCACCCCTGCGTTCCTGCCTGGCACCTGCAGGGGGAATGTATCACCCTGTCTCCTACCTCGTGACGAAAGCCGCTCTGGACGGTCTCCTCCTGCGCGTTATTCCTGCTTTCCTGTATGCAGCGCCATTCTACCCCATGGTGGGTCTGGGCCCTGTGCGTCCTGGAGGGCGGGGGGGGATTTTGGTGCAGAGATGGAGTGGGGCATGGGCATTGGGTGGCAGCTCGGTCGTGCATGCTCACTATATACCTGCACCGATGCGATGATATGCTGTGGCAAGGCCGAATCTCGCACCTCCGCCGCCGCAGATGGGGCTGCAGTCCGACTCCACGATCGTAGCTGTCTTCCTCTTTGTGCTGGCCACCTTCTCCCTGGTGGTAGGCGCCTTTGCACTGGCAGTCACAGTCGGTAGGTGCCTCGGGGCTGGTGGTGACAGCGCGCTGCATCGGGGTTTGGGAGCCCACTCTGTGTTCACAGCAGTCTCGATGTCTTCAGCAGCCACCTGCCTTCCCCAATAAATCGCCGTGCAGTATGTTTCAAATGAAGTATCCTGTGTCCGCACTCAACCCCCACACACCAAAATACCTCCCCCTTTCAGGCTGCACGACAGCAGGGAAGGCCAGCCTGGTGATGAATGTCGTGCTCCTCATCTCCCTCCTGGTGGGCGGCTTCTTCGTGAACGTGGCCTCCATCGCCGCCTGGATCAGGTGGCTGCACTACGCCTCTGTATTCTTCTACGCCTACACTGCCCTCATCACCAACGAGGTGGCCACCCTCTCCCTCGACTTTGTGGTGAGCAGCCTTTTTTGTTAACGAAAGCATCAGGGGTTGCTGTTGAATGATCGCATGGCTTGGCTTCGTCCTGGTTGAGGGAACTGATGCTCGCGGAAAAGGAAAGCACCTCCTCCATCGATGGCTGGTCCCCGGAGCGGCCATAACATGTTGCAGCCGCACCCATCACGACCCCCGCGCCAGCCGCATCACCACCTTCAAACCCTGGCAGGTGGAGGGCTACGCTGCGGTAAAGAACGTGAGGGGGGTGGCCTTCCTGAACATCATCGGCGTGGATGCGGGGGACCTGACGCGCAACATCATCATCCTAGACTGCCTCTATGCCGGCCTTCTGCTGGTCGCCATGCTTGTGCTGTGGCTGAGGCTGCCCACCACAGCAAGCATGGCACGGGTGAGCCGGCGCTGAGTCGGCACGGGGAGCGGTTGTTTTGTCATCATGGGTGCGTTCCACCGCTGCAGGTGCAGGACTAGCATTCAGCCACTGTATACACCTCGTCGACCAGCAGGGTACATTGTGCCTGACACCATCTTAGACTAACTCATTGGCAGATAGCGTCTGTTGATGCTGTAAAATTTTTATCTTGACAACAGAACCAACAAAATAGGATAGGAAATTTTGGTACTTTGCTTTACAAGAGGACATGCACCAGTAGAGCTTCATTGTGTGGTGCGCCGCCCCTCCGTAAGGAAAGCGTGGTAGTGTCGGAAGGGCATGCACCAGAGAGCTTCATTGTGTGGTCGCCGCCCCTCCGTAAGGAAAGCGTGGTAGTGTCGGAAGGGCATGCACGTGATAGTCCTGCTCGTCCACAAAGGATAATGTCGGGTGTGGTGCATCATAACCATAATCCCGCTTCCTGTCTCTTGTACTGAAACGATTCTCTGCTGATTACATACCCAAGTGACCATAACACAACCCACGTCGCGCGAACACAGCGTCGAGGTAGTTGCCCCTTTGTCTCCCACCGTCCGACACCGGCGAGTCCCCTTGGCCGGGCGGCATTGAGGAGCATGCAGAGTCTTGTCACCACCCACAATCCCAAGAGCCCTGGATGTGCCACATTCTCGGGACCTAGATCTACTGGCAGTGGCCGCATCACGTGCCGCACGCTCGCCCACGTTGCTGGACCTCGGCTCGTGTCCACGTCGGCGTCCACGGAGTCGCCCACTCTTCGAGGACTCCTGCCTCAGCAGCCCCCTCAAGCATCCACACCTCAAAAACAGCCTCAAGGCTTGCAGGCCTGGGGCGGAGCGCAAGCCTCCACCGGGTCCCTAAAGGTACCAAGTGGGTGGTTGGTGAAGGATACCAGGGTGTGCTTGGGGTGGCTTCCCACCTTGCTGTGGGGCTTCCCCAAATTTGCTCTGCCCTTCCTAATCCCTCTTGCCCGCCTTTTCCACCAGGCTGATGGGCATGCCTGTGCATCCCCAGAACTTCCCCCGGAGCTGGAAAGTCTGGCATTTTTCACCGATGGCCCCCTGGCAGACGACCAGTGCAGCGCTGCAGAGGGCTGCAGGTGCAGGACTAGCATTCAGCCACTGTATACACCTCGTCGACCAGCAGGGTACATTGTGCCTGACACCATCTTAGACTAACTCATTGGCAGATAGCGTCTGTTGATGCTGTAAAATTTTTATCTTGACAACAGAACCAACAAAATAGGATAGGAAATTTTGGTACTTTGCTTTACAAGAGGACATGCACCAGAGAGCTTCATTGTGTGGTCGCCGCCCCTCCGTAAGGAAAGCGTGGTAGTGTCGGAAGGGCATGCACGTGATAGTCCTGCTCGTCCACAAAGGATAATGTCGGGTGTGGTGCATCATAACCATAATCCCGCTTCCTGTCTCTTGTACTGAAACGATTCTCTGCTGATTACATACCCAAGTGACCATAACACAACCCACGTCGCGCGAACACAGCGTCGAGGTAGTTGCCCCTTTGTCTCCCACCGTCCGACACCGGCGAGTCCCCTTGGCCGGGCGGCATTGAGGAGCATGCAGAGTCTTGTCACCACCCACAATCCCAAGAGCCCTGGATGTGCCACATTCTCGGGACCTAGATCTACTGGCAGTGGCCGCATCACGTGCCGCACGCTCGCCCACGTTGCTGGACCTCGGCTCGTGTCCACGTCGGCGTCCACGGAGTCGCCCACTCTTCGAGGACTCCTGCCTCAGCAGCCCCCTCAAGCATCCACACCTCAAAAACAGCCTCAAGGCTTGCAGGCCTGGGGCGGAGCGCAAGCCTCCACCGGGTCCCTAAAGGTACCAAGTGGGTGGTTGGTGAAGGATACCAGGGTGTGCTTGAGGTGGCTTCCCACCTTGCTGTGGGGCTTCCCCAAATTTGCTCTGCCCTTCCTAATCCCTCTTGCCCGCCTTTTCCACCAGGCTGATGGGCATGCCTGTGCATCCCCAGAACTTCCCCCGGAGCTGGAAAGTCTGGCATTTTTCACCGATGGCCCCCTGGCAGACGACCAGTGCAGCGCTGCAGAGGGCGCGGGGTGGTGGAGCTTCTGGCGATACCAAGGGTTCAACTGAGTGCTGGTTGACAGGTTGTCTGCGGACCTCCCATCCGCTCAGCTTCCTTCTGGCTGGGATCTTCAATATTTCGCCAATAGGACAATTTTGGTGCCGAAGAATACCGCCCCCCCCCCCTCCCCAGGGCGGGCTCCGTGCCACCTGCCGGGCCCACCCAAACACAATTTTGTCGTAGCGTGCTCCTCCTTTTCCCCTTCCCTGGACATCCTGCCCCTGTATTTTTGAAAGCTGTGCCTGTACCCTGGCGCTGACTGCCACTGGCAGTCGCCCCCCCATACACCCGCCCTGCCCTCATGAATCGTGTGACACATGCGCGTAGCGAGAGCGGCCGAGCAGAGGCAGGGGGGCAAGTGTGAACATGAAATTGCGGTGGCAGGGGTTTGGAGCGGCGGGCGTCAGCCGACGCCGCCGTCCTGCGCCCGGCCCTGGAACAGGTACAGGCTGTTTGCTGCAGCGGTCGCGATCACCGGCGCCTGCGGGTGCCAGGACAGGCGCAGAACCTTGCTGCTCAGGTCGCTGGTCACGCTTTCCTCAGCCGTGGAAACGGTGCGCGTGCGCGTGCGCGACAGCCCGAAGCGGGAGGCGGGCTGCGGGGTTGTGCCGAGCGAGGCGATGGGTGGTCGGGAAAAGGTAGGCAGATTTCTGGGAGCTCAGGAGGGTGGCATCGACGTCATTCCTCACCACCCCATGACAGCGGGCTGCGTGCCCTTGGGCAGGAAGTAAGCCCGCCCGCGGAAAATGCCCCGTACTGCACTCCCTCTTCCCCCCTCCCTTTCCTCTCACTCATGCTCCTCCCTCACCTTGGCGGCGGCCTGCAGCCGGCGGCGCATCGGGTCCCGGCTGGACTCCAGGAACATGCTGCCCGCCTCGTTGCTGCGGTCGAACACTCTGTGCCATGGTGCGGCGGGGGGTTTGGGTATTTGTAAACCACACGCAGGCGTTGCTGGTGAAGGCGCACTGGCATGGCAGCCACCACAACCCCCACTTCCCAAGCAGAACACCTTATCCGCCCTCGTCCCTTCCAGGGTCGCACGCCCCTCAGCCTCACTTGAAGAAGTTGGAGTAAGAGCCCGTGGCGATGTGCCGGCCATCGCCCGAGCTGCCCACATCAAATTTGTCAAACAGGCTGTCGCTCTCGTACAGGTCGCACAGCTGTTGGAGGAGGAAGAGTGGGGGGGGGGGGGCAGGGGGGTGCATGGAGATGCAGTCAGGGGCTGGACTGCAGAAGGACGCGTCGCTTGTCGCAGGGCAATGTCCATTCCCTAGCAATCTCGCCTCATGCCTTGGCTGCCGCAGCCAAACATCTAATCGTCAGGGCCTGGAGTGGCTCCCATTGCCCCCCTCCCCTTTTTTTAATGCATTCCAGTGCTTCAGCCACCCACCCGCACCATTCGCCAATGGCCCCGCAACGACCCCCTCAACTTTCCTCCGTTCCCCCGCCCAAATACCACCCTCCTCCTTTCTTTCCCTCCTCACCCTGCTCCTCAGGCTTTCGTGCACGCGGTGCACCTCCAGCGGCCCCGAGTCCATGGCCAAGTCCCAAAGCTTGACGGTCATGAAGTCGCGGGCGAGGAGGTGGCGCCCGTCTGCCGAGAAGCGGAAGTCGGAGATGGAGGAGATGATCTCAGAGAAGAAGTTCTTGGGCCCGCCAGGACCCGCGTCTTCAAAATGCTTCGCCCCCGCGTCGCACAGCGCGGCGGCGCGCAGGTCGGCCAGGCGCAGCGACCCGCGGCTCGTGCTGTAGGCGAATTGGTGGCTGTGGGTGGGGTGGAAGGCCGCGCGCGTGATCACCTCCGTCAGGTCGTCCATGTTGGCGGGCTTCACGTCCACCACCGTGTAGGCCTGGGGCTCGGCGTCCAGGTTCCACAGATTTATTCGCAGGTCATCGGCTGTGTGTGGTGGGGTGATACTGGTGCGTGGGTGTGGGTGGTAATGCAACCGGGGCACATGTGGCAAGAGCAGGGCGAGATAATACACAGTGAGGGGGATGGGCAATCAAAGCATGTGGGTTCCCCTCACGGGCCAGATGATCTGCAGTGAGTTTCAGATGCTGCAGCCCGCAGGCACGCCAGCGTGGCAGGCGCATGGTGAAGGAGAGCATCCTCCCCTGAACAGAACAGGACTCCGCCCATCCCAGCACATGCGAGATGCAGGCCCAGCGTCCCCATCCCATGAAAGACGCCGCACCCGACAGGAAGGTCTCCTTGTCGCTAGACAGGGACACAGTGTTGATGTGGTAGGCGTGGGCGTTGGAGTAGGTGCGGCGACACTTGCTGGTCATCAGCGTTTCCCGGCCCTCCACCTGCAGAGGAGAGCGGGGGTGGTTCAGGCGTCGGATGCACAGCAAGTGTGTACTTGCCCGAGCCCCAATGGCGACACCCACAGGGCCGGCTCGCTGCCGCCCTGCTGTGGAGACCCAGGCGTTTACAGGTGAAGGCTTGCGTACCCTAGCCTCCCGCCTCAATGCTGAGCCCAAGACCAAACATGAGTAACCAAGATGGGGCCCCATGGCCTCGTCTCACCGTGGGGACTCGAAGCTCCCTTTCTTTGAGGGACGGTGGCGCGCCGCCACCCTCTAGGCTCGGCCTCTGTCCGCTGCTCCCAGGAGCATCCATGTTCAGCCCACTCACGCTCAGCACCTGCTTCTCGTACACCTGCAGGAATCAGGGTGTAGGGCAGCAGAGAAGTGAGCGATGGTTCATGAGGCTCTGTCCCTACCAAAGGAGCTGTGCTGGCCAGAAGATGCCAGAGACTGTCGGGGGGCCGGACGCCACCTCAGACCGGTGCCGGACCAAGATGGCCATTCAGGCTGCATCATGCTCGAGGAGACATGCTGAAAGAGGCCGCACCCCACGACCTACCTTCCACAGCTTGATGGTCTTGTCGTTGGTGGTGAGGAGGTGGTGGGCTGTGGGGGTTTCGAGGGCAGGGGAGTCTCGCCGGCACCACCGGACGCTGTTGATCTTCTCCTCGATCTCCAACGACTTGAGGTAGTCAAACTCCGGCTCGTGCGACTGGAACTCGGTCAGGTAGCGGTACTCGTAGGCGTTGGGGATGCGCGGCGAGGCGGGCCGGGAGTCCGCAGGCTGTTTGGTGTGTGGGGAAGCATGGTGCGCCTTCGGGAGGGGACTGACACATTGCGCAGCCCACAGATGTCAACCGGCACGGCACTGCATGCCATCTCCACCAAATCCTCCCCGCCCACCTCGTTTGCCAGGTGTGACGGCGCGCATCTCTCGAACAGGACCACGCGCCCTCCATGATCTCCCGTGGCCAGGAACTCGCCATCCCCATCAAACTCCACGGCAGAGATGATGTCGGCTGCAGGGGAGGGCCGAGCGGAGAGGGGGGTCAGGTGATGGCCGCTTGCTTTGGTTTCAGGTCAGCAGTGCTCCTGAGCATTGCCAGAGGACCGTGCTGCTTCCACTGCAGTGAACCCTGTTGGTTATGGGCGAGGCGCGCCTCTGCCACTGCTGGGGGCTCCAGCCTTCCGACCACTGAGGGGCACAAAGGCAGCTCTCGCCGCCAAGCTTGCCAGGCCCCCCCCTTCTCTGAGCTCACCATCCTGGATCTCCTCTCCAGGCGTCCGTTCGCCAAAGACTTGGCTGAAGTGCCACTCCAGGGAAGCCGTCATGCTGTCGTAAGGGTGGCACGGTCCCACGAGCAGCTAGCAGGAGGTGTGAGGCCTACCTCCTGCGGGAATTGCAGGATGACGCGAGGGAGGCAGGGAGAGGGAGTCAGGGCGTGCCGGGGCTGATCGGCCGGCCTGCAGGGGCGCAGAGGGTCTCCGTCCCACCTGGCAACACCTCCACGCACTCTGTTATTGACATCGGGTGTCCCCCGGCGAACGAGTTCGGCGCCTGTTCACTGCTTGGGGATCCCAATGCGCGGTCGAGCCCCTGCCTGCCTCCGATCAGCAGAGGGGAGCACAGGTTCCACCCCTAGCTCAGTCGGTCAGGTCCGTCAGCGCGCAGCCTTTGCGGGCTCCGGAAGCCTCCACACGACAGACTGAATTTGGATCACCTTGATCACGCGCTTGCACGCTGGTCAAGTCGCCACTTGATCGGCGCGTTCTCGTTTGAACCTCGATGGCGCCTGCGTGCAAAGCCCGAGGAGCAAGGATGCGAGACAAGACGCCGACGCACAAGCGCAAATCTGGAACCGTGTAACAAATGCGCCCTCGAAGCTGGCGGTGGCCCGTGGTGGCGGGTGGAGGGCCGGTGCGTGGCATGGACCACCATCGCGCCGGAATCGAAGCGTAGTGGCAGACCGGGTGGGTAACGGAGTCTCCCCCCTCCAGGGGGTCCTGCTCAATGAAGCATCAATTTGTTTCCTGGCAGTCAAGTCGGGCACTGGAGCAGTCATAAGATCCCCAAGGGCTTACATTGAACACCATACATGCCTCGATTCCTAACGCTTCCTCTTGCCCCTGGCTGCAGGCGGCCTCGCCCCACGTTCAACAACCATCCTGGCAAGGTGATCTGCAAAGAGGCAATGTTCCACGTCCTTGGCAGTCCAGCTCCTTCTCCCTGGCACATCCCAGGCAAAGAGGACAGGGTCGGTGGCAATGGCAAGATTGTCACAGGTCCTGCAATGTTTTCCGGCCCCCTAGCAAGATGGCACCGGGCTCACACTCGTCAATGAGCACGTAATCCTTGGCGTACAGGAGATATTTCACAGGTGCTTCATCAGCCATGCATCAAACGCCTCATCACTCACGTTCTGCATCTAGTTTGTTGAGCTCAGCAGCCTTCTCGCGAAGAGTCTTGATGAATTCCAAGGCGATGGGGATGGTGTACGCCTTTTCCCCAAGCGCTGCCATCATGGCCTCGTCACTCATGAAGGGAATGCTGGGATGAAACGCCTGCAGAACAGCGGAGGCCGTGGCAGGACCCACTCCCTGGGCCGGAGAGGGCAAGGTTGCACAAGGAGCAATTATGCACAGTGCCGTTGTGTCTTGCCAGACTGCTCGAACGACTCTGGCTGTTGTCCTCCTGAAAAATAAGGATCCACCTACATGTGACATTCCAGGGCAATTCTTAACGCATATCCCATTATCCCCCCAGTAAACACAGACCAGCTCAGCCCTGCCCCACCTTGAGCTTGGTGAGCTCCAAGAATGCCGACTTCAGCGCAGAGGGTCCTGGTTCTGCTCCAGACGAGCTGTCCTTGTATAGAGAGGCAAAGGCAGACCGACTGGCATCAGCTACACTCGCAGGAGCCAGCTCTTTGGCAAAGGCTTGGAGCCTGGGCCGCCACTTTCCTCGAGAAAGCTTCCAGTCGACCAAACGCACAAGCTCCTCATGATGCAATTCAGGGGGATCCCTGGCTCGAATCACGCCCGGCAATGCTTCCTGGAGCCATCTGGGATGCGGCATGGGACGGCTGTGTGATGTGGGATGTTGATTGGTCTTCCGTAAGGCAGAATTGAAGATTGCAGAGCGATGAACGAACTCCCCGCCGCCCAGGCACCACCAGCGCTCTGTGCAGCCCCAAACACATCGAATACCTCTCATTGTCCAGCAAAGCTGGTTTCCAGCCTTCTATGAGCGTCCAGTAGTCATCAAGAGCGGCCTGCCACTTTTTGAGATCGACGTTCCCCCAAAATGCTGCAGCGTTGGACATTGGCAGATGTCACAAGACCGCGCTGCAATTTGATCGCATGTATTATTGTATACACCATTGAAGGGGAGCATCGAGTTGTGAGAGCTTTTCAACAATGTGGTGTTCGGTGTGCTTGGAAACCTAGATCTGGGGCGCAGCGGAATCCGGCTCAATCCCTTCCTGTCCCTCATGCGTTTGATTCTTTGTACCGGGGCATTTGCCATTCGCCAGACCAAAACGTGTCTTCTGACTGGGATACATAGATTTTATACCTCTCCTCCCACCCCATGCGGTCGCTAGCGCAGCCATGCGGCACGCACCTCGAAAGTGGGCATGCTCGGTCCCATGCTCACCCCCCCCGATGTCACCCATGTCGGGGTGTACCCGAGCATGGAGAATCTCACATGCCCTCATCACAGAAGTTGAGTAGCAGGAGTGAGTGGGGACTCTCTCGTCGAGCCCTTTTGGCGGCCCTTCCTTCCATGCTAGCCACACTGCCACTGGCGTGCGGTGCAGAGCCGTCCCCGAGCCCAGCCATTACACACCGGGTGTACTTTGACGTGGGGGTCTGCGATGCCGGAGTCAATCGGGCGCGAACTCTGGGAGACACAGTGGCCTGCGAGGCACCGGCCTACCTTGGAAGGATGACTCTGGGTGCGAAAGAGCCATTCAGTGTGCATGGGGGCAAGGGGTTGATGCCATGTCCCTGCAAAATGCCTCCCATGCAGGATACAGGGATATGGAGGCAGCACCTGCCATCTGGTGTACATGCCTGCGTGCCATCAAATGAGCTCACGGCCAGAAAATCCTCCCTACAGGACTGTATGGAGATGTGGCCCCGGCCTCAACAGCCTCAATCCTGGAAACCATTCGGGCTGGAAAGTATGACCAGTCGCTTATAAACAAGGTCCTGCCGGGGCAGTACCTTTTGCTGGGGCATCAGGGCCCCAAGAGGCTTGGGTATGTGGCGGGGGCGCAGTGCTCCCAGCCAAACACCGACCTCATGCAGTCAGCTTCCTTCCAGCTGCCCCACCGCCGGCCCGGCACCGTCAGCCTTGCGGTCACAGGTGAGTTGTCCCTGGAACTGGTGCCAAGGTGGTGGGGGGGCCTGGGCTGCATACAGAGGCTGATGCACGGCAGGACATGCTGTGGAGGCAAACAGTCGATAGGTGGGTCCCCTCCCACCCTGTCCGCTGCCACCCTTCCCATAATGGTACCCCCAAACCCAATCCCCAGAAAACGAGGATGAGCAGTACCTGCAGCGCCTCCCCAGCTACTGCAACGTCAGCATGCTCATAACGACGGGGCCCGGGCCTGTTCCAAGCCTGGATGGCCAGAACGTCGTCATTGGCGAGCTTCTGGGTGAGGGCATCGCCCCTGTTTGCCAGACATGGCAGCAGGCTGTGTCTGGAGCAGGGCACTGCATGGATGAGCTGTCAAATGAGGTTCCAACACATTCATGCCTGGGCCCGATCCCAACCCTCTTTACCTCACCCCATGCTCCATGCAGATGGGTTTGATGTGCTGGCAGCTGTGCAACGTGTGCCCACATTCTATCCAAGCAGCAACCGCCGTGCCTTCAACGAGCTGGGCCAGGTTTTCGGAGACAAGAGGGCCAACCTCGCCGCCAAGCGGTGGGGCCGGCCCTTGAAACCCATCGTGGTGATGGCAGCTGGCGAGATCAGGGAGACATGAGGAAAGGAGGGCGCCACAAGATGGTCTCATTGAGCGGCCCACTTCGCCCAGCCGATGCGGGAGTGTTGTAATTGTTCATGCAGACGCATGCCGATTCGGATTGTGGACTGGGGATGGTGGGCATCGCTCGAAGCATCAATCTCCGCACTTTCATTGATTTATGAAAAAGTCTTGAAGCATATGAATACCGGTCGCGCTTCGTCGTGAATCCTGGGGGTCTGTGCGCGTTCCCAAAACCCTGCCACCGCCCAAAAAGGGTGAGCATCCCAGCCGGGCAGCCCTGCCCTCACCAGCCCCAGTGCCAGCTCCGCGAGTTGATCTGATGCAGTTCCTGACCATCTAGTGGGCATCCGATCCCCTGTACATGCTCCCCTCTGCCCCGCCAACATGACGACCGCACTCCGGGCCGTGTGGCTGTCTGCCGAGTCCAACTTCCAGGGCAGCTTGCCAGAGGCGCGGTGTGGACACGTGGCCGCGAGCATCAAGAACCACGCCGCCTGGGGTGACGAGTTCATCATCATCCATGGTGAGTGGAGGGTGCTGGTGTGTTCTGAGACCGGTACTGTGGACACAGGCCATGCGATGGGGAGGTGACACCACCATTGACCTCCCTCTAACCCACTCAGTCCCCATCTCCACCTCCCATTACTATCCCCTTCCCCCCCATACCCACACACCAACCCAGGCGGCATCAACCGGGAGCGGGAGGCTCTGGACTCGCTGGCCGTGCTGGGTCTGGACCAGGGCAGCTGGAACTCGCCCTCCAACCCCACCGGCCCCGGCCCCTCCGCCCGCGCCTTTCACGCCGGCGCGGTGCTGGGGCGCCGGCTCTACGTCTTCGGCGGACACGTGTACGTCAAGCAGCAGGCGCGGCTGCACGCCTTCAACGACCTCTGGTGCCTGGACACCGACACGTGGGAGTGGGCCAGGCTGGAGACCGAGGCGGAGGCGCCGACGCCCTGCCCCCGCGACCGCGCCTGCCTCGTGGCCTCCCTGGACGGCAGCTCGCTGCTGCTCTACGGCGGCGCAGACGCGTCCAACCGTCGGCTGGACGACCTCTGGCGCTACGACATCGCCGCACGCGCATGGGCCGAGGTGGGTGCCGCCGGAGGGGCCCGGCCGCGGCCGCGCTGCTCGGCCACGCTGTGCGCACTGCCCAACAGGCTGCTGCTGTTTGGGGGTGACAACTACGGCGTCAGCGGCGAGCTCTGGAGCCTGAATGTGGTGGTGGAGCGCGCCGGCGCCGCTGTGAAAACGTCAAGGGAGGGCCCCGGCGGGGATGGGAAGCCAGCCACCGGGCCTGCCCCCCCTGCGACGGCCTCCTGGACGCTGCTCTCCCTGGAAGGCGCCGTGCCCCTGCCCAGGAGAGGCCACGCAGCCGCCGCCTCGGGGAGAGGCTTCCTCGTGTCTGGCGGCTTCACCGAGCACCGCTCGCTCATCGGCATCAAGAGCCGCGGCGTCTGCCTCGACGGTGAGTGTGTGCTGAGAGAGAGGGGGCTGCGGCTGCGTCCTGCAGAGGGCCCTGCTCGCCTGTTAGCTGTGACGGGGCCGACAGGTCTTTGTCGGCGCCGCAGCGGGGGCGTCAGCACCCTCCTTGGACGCTGCATGGAGCCCCCCCATTGATCCCACCACCGCCCACCCTCCTCCAAGACGTCTCGATGCTGGACCGGGAGGCGGAGTCGCTGGTGTGGAGGGCCGCGGTGCCGGGGTCAAACGACGCCGCCACGCCCTGCGCGCGGGAGAAGCACTCGCTCACTGCCGTGTCCGACGGCCGCCTGCTCCTGTTTGGAGGTGGGGCGTGGAGATCAGGCTGTGGCGGGGTCTCGGGGGGAAAGCCTGTACTCCCGTCGTTTAGGGATCCCTGAGTGCGTGAATGTTCTGCTGCGCTCGGTCATCCATGGCTGTGTTTTAGAGCCATGACCTGCTGATCCATCGTCACGCCCTCCTCCATCTGCCACCCAGGCACGGACGGGAGGACGACGCTGGGGGACGCCTGGTGGTTGCATGTGGAGGAGGTGGCTGGCGCGGCGGACCCGGCGCCCGCCCACCCCACCCCGCCCCGCCCCGGCGGCCCCCACTTGACCCTGGAGGGGCCGCCCGCCACGAGCAACCGGCCGCTGTCCCCCGCCCCGGGCGCTGCCTCGGGCCTTGCCGCAGCGGGGCTGGCCTACCTCCCCGCCGTCCCCCTGGGCCTCACCTCGGCCTTCTCCAGCCTCAGGGACAGGCTGGGCCTACCTGCCACCGCCCCCGCCGCCGACCTGCTACCCCTGGGTGTGCTGGCCAGCGAATTTGACCCAGCCCTGCTGGCTCTAGGCCAGCGGGTTCTCGACCTGCCCAGCGGCACAGAAGGAGATCGGGGCCGGGCAGTGCAGGCGGCACGCTCCTTCCTGGCCTCGTGCTCGCACGAGGTGCGCGCTGGGGGAATATATTGTGTGTGTGTGGGTGGGGGGGGGGTGGGGGGTCCTGCGCATGATTGTTCA